CTGTAGCATCTTTGGATATTTGAATATTTTCATCCTCCGGTGACATGCCAATATCAAAATCTATGTCTGGGATCCTGGGTGCCTGGATTTGTGAGACAGCCCCCTCAGGCCTTACTCCTACTTGGAGTGGTATTTCTGGACCTGAAATGCTTTTATCATCATTTCTTTCCAAATTGCTGCTGTGCATTGTAGGCTCTCTATCAGCTCCTGTTTTATTTCTATGTATTTTCATTTTTGGCATTCCTATGTTAAATTTAGTTCCTTTAATTTTTGCTTTAGTCCTGTCAAAATCGTGAGTGTTCTGATGTCTGTCTGGTGAATCCATGTTTAATTGAACTTTGCCATCGAACCCTAAATCAGACTTGGATGGGGACTGACAAACCTCTCCATGTGCTGCGTTAAATTTCACATCAGGCATTTTTAAACTTCCACATGTTGATCCATCCTGATGAGCACCTGGTTGATCTAAATTGATGTTGGGCATCTTGATTTCAGGCATTTCAGGACCTTCAACCTTCCCTTTGGGGAGAGAAATTTCAATATCAGGCAGTTTGGTGTGAGGCATTTCAAATGTCCCTTTCTTATGCAGTTCTATATGTCCTCCAGGGGCCTCTATGTTGACTTCATGACCCTTGGTTTTTGCTTTGGGCAGTGTTATGTCAACAGAAGGCATTTTCAGATCAGGCATTTTAAATTTCCCTCCTTTAGAAACATCTATTTCAACATCAGGGCCTTCAATCTTTCCTTTTGGAAGTGAGATATCTGCAGAAGAAAGATTTGGATGAGGAATCTTGAAACTTCCACCTTTACCTCCAATTTCCAGCTCAGGTCCCTCTATGGTTCCTTTGGGAAGAGATATGTCAACATCTGGCATATTGATTTTTCCAGATTCTGATCCCTCAATATCAATTTCTGGGCCTTTAAATTTTCCTTTTGGTAAAGAAATGTCAACATTTGGCATTTTTACATTTGGCATTTTGAATTTTCCACCTGCTGATCCTTCTACATGAGCTTCAGGTCTTTCTGTGGTGATCTCTGGACCTTCAATCTTTCCTTTTGGGAGAGTTATATCAAGTTTAGGTATTTTGATACCAGGCATTTTAAACTTCCCCCCAGCAGGACCTTCTATATCTACATCTGGACCTTCAGTCTTTCCTTTTGGAAGTGAAATATCAACAGAAGGTAGTTCCCCTTCAATCTCAATCTCTGGACCAACACTTTTGGCCTTGGGTAAGGCTATGTCCACATCTGGCATTTTCAGGTGAGGCATCTTGAACTTTCTTCTTTTAGGTCCCTCAATGTCAACTTCTGGACCTTCTATTTTTCCTTTTGGAAGTGAAATATCAACAGAAGGAAGAGTTCCTTCAACGTCTGCTCCTAGACCCTTCCCTTTGGGCAAAGATATGTCAATGTTGGGCATCTTGATTTCAGGCATTTTGAACTTTGCCCCCTGAGCATCTATTTCAGGACCTTCAACCTTCCCTTTGGGCAGAGAAATATCAATATCAGGCATTTTGATGTGAGGCATTTCAAACGTCCCTTTTTTATTCCCTTCTATATGCACTCCAGGGGCCTCTATGTTGACTTCAGGACTCTTGGTTTTTGCTTTGGGCAGTGTTATGTCAGCAGAAGGCATTTCCAGATCAGGCATTTTAAATTTCCCTCCTTTAGAAACGTCTATATCGACGTCAGGGCCTTCAATCTTTCCTTTTGGAAGTGAGATATCTGCAGAAGAAAGATTTGGATGAGGCATCTTGAAATGTCCACCTTTTCCTCCAATTTCCAGCTCAGGTCCCTCTATGGTTCCTTTGGGAAGAGATATGTCAACGTCTGGCACATAGATTTTTCCAGATTTTGACCCTTCAATATCAATTTCTGGGCCTTTAAATTTTCCTTTTGGTAAAGAAATGTCAACATTTGGCATTTTTACATTTGGCATTTTGAATTTTCCACCTGCTGATCCTTCTACATGAGCTTCAGGTCTTTCTGTGGTGATCTCTGGACCTTCAATCTTTCCTTTTGGGAGAGTTATGTCAAGTTTAGGCATTTTGATACCAGGCATTTTGAACTTTCCCCCAGCAGGACCTTCTATATCTACATCTGGACTTTCAATCTTTCCTTTTGGAAGTGAAATATCAACAGAAGCTAGTTCCCGTTCAATCTCAATCTCTGGACCAACACCTTTGGCCTTGGGTAAGGCTATGTCCACATCTGGCATTTTCAGGTGAGGCATCTTGAACTTTCTTCCTTTAGGTCCCTCAATGTCAACTTCTGGACCTTCTATTTTTCCTCTTGGAAGTGAAATATCAACAGAAGGAAGAGTTCCTTCAACATCTGCTCTTAGACCTTTCCCTTTGGGCAAAGATACGTCGATGTTGGGCATCCTGATTTCAGGCATTTTGAACTTTGCCCCCTGAGCATCTATTTCAGGACCTTCAACCTTCCCTTTGGGCAGAGAAATATCAATATCAGGCATTTTGATGTGAGGCATTTCAAACGTGCCTTTCTTATGCGTTTCTATATGTCCTCCAGGGGCCTCTATGTTGACTTCAGGACTCTTGGTTTTTGCTTTGGGCAGTGTTATGTCAACAGAAGGCATTTTCAGATCAGGCATTTTAAATTTCCCTCCTTTAGAAATATCTATATCAATGTCAGGGCCTTCAATCTTTCCTTTTGGAAGTGAGATATCTGCAGAAGAAAGATTTGGATGAGGCATCTTGAAATGTCCACCTTTTCCTCCAATTTCCAGCTCAGGTCCCTCTATGGTTCCTTTGGGAAGAGATATGTCAACGTCTGGCACATAGATTTTTCCAGATTTTGACCCTTCAATATCAATTTCTGGGCCTTTAAATTTTCCTTTTGGTAAAGAAATGTCAACATTTGGCATTTTTACATTTGGCATTTTGAATTTTCCACCTGCTGATCCTTCTACATGAGCTTCAGGTCTTTCTGTGGTGATCTCTGGACCTTCAATCTTTCCTTTTGGGAGAGTTATGTCAAGTTTAGGCATTTTGAAACCAGGCATTTTGAACTTCCCCCCAGCAGGACCTTCTATATCTACATCTGGACCTTCAATCTTTCCTTTTGGAAGTGAAATATCAACAGAAGGTAGTCCCCCTTCAATCTCAATCTCTGGACCAACACCTTTGGCCTTGGGTAAGGCTATGTCCACATCTGGCATTTTCAGGTGAGGCATCTTGAACTTTCTTCCTTTAGGTCCCTCAATGTCAACTTCTGGACCTTCTATTTTTCCTCTTGGAAGTGAAATATCAACAGAAGGAAGAGTTCCTTCAACATCTGCTCTTAGACCTTTCCCTTTGGGCAAAGATACGTCGATGTTGGGCATCTTGATTTCAGGCATTTTGAACTTTGCCCCCTGAGCATCTATTTCAGGACCTTCAACCTTCCCTTTGGGCAGAGAAATATCAATATCAGGCATTTTGATGTGAGGCATTTCAAACGTCCCTTTTTTATTCCCTTCTATATGCACTCCAGGGGCCTCTATGTTGACTTCAGGACCCTTGGTTTTTGCTTTGGGCAGTGTTATGTCAACAGAAGGCATTTTCAGATCAGGCATTTTAAATTTCCCTCCTTTAGAAACATCTATATCGACGTCAGGGCCTTCAATCTTTCCTTTTGGAAGTGAGATATCTGCAGAAGAAAGATTTGGATGAGGCATCTTGAAATGTCCACCTTTTCCTCCAATTTCCAGCTCAGGTCCCTCTATGGTTCCTTTGGGAAGAGATATGTCAACGTCTGGCACATTGATTTTTCCAGATTTTGACCCTTCAATATCAATTTCTGGGCCTTTAAATTTTCCTTTTGGTAAAGAAATGTCAACATTTGGCATTTTTACATTTGGCATTTTGAATTTTCCACCTGCTGATCCTTCTACATGAGCTTCAGGTCTTTCTGTGGTGATCTCTGGACCTTCAATCTTTCCTTTTGGGAGAGTTATGTCAAGTTTAGGCATTTTGATACCAGGCATTTTCAACTTCCCCGCAGCAGGACCTTCTAAATCTACATCTGGACCTTCAATCTTTCCTTTTGGAAGTGAAATATCAACAGAAGGTAGTTCCCGTTCAATCTCAATCTCTGGACCAACACCTTTGGCCTTGGGTAAGGCTATGTCCACATCTGGCATTTTCAGGTGAGGCATCTTGAACTTTCTTCCTTTAGGTCCCTCAATGTCAACTTCTGGACCTTCTATTTTTCCTTTTGGAAGTGAAATATCAACAGAGGGAAGAGTTCCTTCAACATCTGCTCTTAGACCTTTCCCTTTGGGCAAAGATACGTCGATGTTGGGCATCTTGATTTCAGGCATTTTGAACTTTGCCCCCTGAGCATCTATTTCAAGGACCTTCAACCTTCCCTTTGGGCAGAGAAATATCAATATCAGGCATTTTGATGTGAGGCATTTCAAACGTCCCTTTTTTATTCCCTTCTATATGCACTCCAGGGGCCTCTATGTTGACTTCAGGACCCTTGGTTTTTGCTTTGGGCAGTGTTATGTCAACAGAAGGCATTTTCAGATCAGACATTTTAAATTTCCCTCCTTTAGAAACATCTATATCGACGTCAGGGCCTTCAATCTTTCCTTTTGGAAGTGAGATATCTGCAGAAGAAAGATTTGGATGAGGCATCTTGAAATGTCCACCTTTTCCTCCAATTTCCAGCTCAGGTCCCTCTATGGTTCCTTTGGGAAGAGATATGTCAACGTCTGGCACATAGATTTTTCCAGATTTTGACCCTTCAATATCAATTTCTGGGCCTTTAAATTTTCCTTTTGGTAAAGAAATGTCAACATTTGGCATTTTTACATTTGGCATTTTGAATTTTCCACCTGCTGATCCTTCTACATGAGCTTCAGGTCTTTCTGTGGTGATCTCTGGACCTTCAGTCTTTCCTTTTGGGAGAGTTATATCAAGTTTAGGCATTTTGATACCAGGCATTTTGAACTTCCCCCCAGCAGGACCTTCTATATCTACATCTGGACCTTCAATCTTTCCTTTTGGAAGTGAAATATCAACAGAAGGTAGTCCCCCTTCAATCTCAATCTCTGGACCAACACCTTTGGCCTTGGGTAAGGCTATGTCCACATCTGGCATTTTCAGGTGAGGCATCTTGAACTTTCTTCCTTTAGGTCCCTCAATGTCAACTTCTGGACCTTCTATTTTTCCTTTTGAAAGTGAAATATCAACAGAAGGAAGAGTTCCTTCAGTGTCTGCTCCTAGACCCTTCCCTTTGGGCAAAGATATGTCAATGTTGGGCATCTTGATTTCAGGCATTTTGAACTTTGCCCCCTGAGCGTCTATTTCAGGACCTTCAACCTTCCCTTTGGGCAGAGAAATATCAATATCAGGCATTTTGATGTGAGGCATTTCAAAAGTCCCTTTCTTATGCGCTTCTATATGTCCTCCAGGGGCCTCTATGTTGACTTCAGGACCCTTGGTTTTTGCTTTGGGCAGTGTTATGTCAACAGAAGGCATTTTCAGATCAGGCATTTTAAATGTATCTCCTTTAGAAACATCTATGTCAGCGTCAGGACCTTCAAGTTTTCCTTTTGGAAGTGAGATATCAACAGAAGGAAGATTTGGATGTGGCATCGTAAAACTTCCACCTTTTCCTTCAATTTCCAGCTCAGGTCCCTCTGTGGTTCCTTTGGGAAGAGATATGTCAACATCTGGCATATTGATTTTTCCAGATTTCGACCCTTTGATATCAATTTCTGGGCCTTTAAATTTTCCTTTTGGTAAAGAAATGTCAACATTTGGCAATTTGATATCAGGCATTTGAAGCTTTCTCTCAGCAGAACCCTCTATATCTACATCTGGGCCTTTGATCTTTCCTTTAGGCACAGAAATATCAATATCAGGCATGTGAGGCATTTCAAATGTCCCTTTCTTATGTCCTTCTAAATGTCCTCCAGGGGCCTCTATGCTGACTTCAGGACCCTTGGTATTTGCTTTGGGCAGTGCTATGTCAATAGAAGGTATTTTCAGATCAGGCATTTTAAATTTCCCTCCACTAGAAACATCTATATCAACGTCAGGATCTTCAATCTTTCCTTTTGGAAGTGAGATATCAACAGAAGGAAGATTTGGATGCAACATCTTGAAACTTCCAGCTTTTCCTCCAAGTTCCAGCTCAGGCCCCTCTATGCTTCCTTTGGGAAGAGATATGTCAACATCTGGCATATTGATTGTTCCAGATTTTGACCCTTCAATATCAGTTTTTGGTTTTACATTTGCTGAGGCAATGTCAACTTTAGGCATTTTGACTCCAGACATGTTGAATTTTCCCCCAGCAGGACCCTTTATATCTACATCTGATCCTTCTAGGTGAGCTTCAGGTCTTTCTGTGGTAAGCTTTGGTCCGTCAGTCTTTCCTTTTGGGAGAGTTATGTCAACCTTAGGCATTTTGATTCCAGACATTTTTAACTTTCCCCCAGCAGGGCCCTCTATATCTAGATTTCGACCTTTAGTCTTTCCTTTAGGAAGTGAAATGTCAACACATGGTAGTCCCCCTTCAATCTCAACCTCTGGGCCAACAACAGTGGCCTCTGGTAAGGATATGTCCACATCTGAAATGTTCAGATTTGGTCCCTCTATATCAATGTCTGAGGGTTTTACATTATCAAGTTGGAGCTTTCCTGAAGTTGAGACAGTGCCTGCTTTGATATTCCCTTGGCCTTTGGGCAATGATATATCTAGGTCAAATTTTGGCATTGAAACATCAATTGTTGGTATTTTGGGCATTCTTAAGCTTCCCTCAGAGATTTTATTGTCACCTTCTGAACCACCCATTTCAGGTTTTGGGAGAAGGACTTCCGTGTCTGGAGATGTAACTGTTGATGAGCCTGACATTGAAAATTTGGGGAGTTTTATATGAACATCAGGTCCATGGAAACCACTTTTTCCCTCTAAATCAGATTCTAGTTTTGCTGCACCTTCTTTCCCTGTAAGCTGTATTTTAGGGGATGTTGTTTCTTCTTCAGCACACGAAGCAGATAAGTCAGCTTTATTCTTGGAAAATACAAATGAAGGCAGTTTTATTTTTTTTTTCTTTCCCTTAACCTTTTTCTTTCCACCAGCCTCCTGCACCTCAACCTTGCCTTCTACATGTGTTGGGTTAACAATAATTTTTCCCTTTGGGCATGATAAAGCATCATCTCCTTTTGATTGTCCATTGAACCTTGAAGACAAACTTGGTTCTTTGACAGAAATATTTGGTGGATCATAACTACCCCCTGAAGAAGGTCTGCTGCCCTCTGCACGCAGCAGCTCTACTTCTACATCATCACCTTGCTTTGAATGACCAAATTCTAAATCAACTTTTGGGGCTAAAATGTTAACTGTAGGGAGTTTGAAATGTGGAAATTTGATGCTGGCCCCTGATCTATCTGTTTTTTCTTTGGAAAGGTTAAGATCAATGTCTGGCATGTGTACTTTCCTTCCCTTTATCTCAGACCCTTTAACTTCTACAGCTGCCGGTGTTATATTGACGTTTGGCAATGAAATGTCCACTTTTGATACATTTGCTTTTCCATCAGAACTAATGTCAACTTCAGATCCTTCTACTGATTTTCTCTTTGACAGATCAGTTTTTGGCATCTCAAATCCAGCCCCACCTTCGACTTTTGGCCCCTGAATGTACATCCCTGCCTCAGGTAATTTGACATCCGGAAGGGATATGTCAGTAGACAGACTCTGTTCTCCAATGTCTCCCGTCAGTCCTGTTTCCAGTAATACTTTTTCAACAGATGAAATGGTTCCTTTTCCATATTCAATATCTGGCATTGCAATGTTAATGTTGCCTTTCTTTTGATCTATGTCTGGAAAGGAGACCTCAGTTGGTGGTCCTTGAAACTGTACCTCTGTTGTCTCTATGGTACCTCTGATTTTAGTGTTTGTTACTATCATCTTTGGTTGAGATATGTCCAGTAGTGGGGCAGTTACACTTTCTTCTAAATGAGGTCCTTTCAGTTTTAGATCACTTTCATGTGACAACTCTGAAGCAGGATCAACAGAAGACATTTTGATTTCAGCTTGTCCCCCCGATACTTCATATTTATTATATTCTGCTTTCCATGTTTCTTTCTTAACCTTTGGAATAGTTAGGTCTACTTTAGGTAATGTAATTGTCTCTTCCTCTTGCATCTCTCTCTCTGTCTTGAATGACTCCTTTTTGGGGAGAATAACATTAAATTCTGGCATTTTGAAATGTCCATCCCCACCAACATAATGTCCCATGTTCACATCTGCAGTGTCTGTTTCCAGTGTACAATCTTCTTTAGCGTGTTCTACATCTGATAATTCCATTTTTGGCATAGAAATCTTTGGACATTTAAATGTGCCTTCCACTTCATCAGGCAGACGCATAGCCACAGCTGGCACAACCATGACCCCAGCTCCTGTGCCCTGTGGGTCTGACACCTCCACACTGGGCCTTCCTTCAACTTTGGACACACTGACTGAGGCTGCCCCTGGGATGCCTGCAGACACCTTTACTTGGGGTGGGGGAGAGATTTTGACATCTCCTTTTATATTCACATCACCTTCCATGTCATCTGAATGTCGTGACAGTCGAATCTTTGGTAATTTTAACTTTGGCATTCTGAGCTTAGCATTACCTTTGCCAGCATCAACATTCCCAGCCTCTGCATTCAATTCTCCATGGAAATCCGACCCTCCAGAATGAAGAGCCAAATCTACTTTGGGTTTGCTCATCTGTGCTCTGCTCTTATCCCCTTCATAGGCTCCATCTTCAGGCAGACTGAGGGTGACCTCTGGTGGCTGCACAGTCACCCTGGGTGCGGTGCCCTCCACGGAACCAGACTTCGTGTGTTTGGACTTGGGAAAATGGATGCCAAATTTATGGGCTTTTCCATGAGCTTTGACTTTTGCTCCAGACATCTCCATATGCATAGTTTCCTCTGGTTGGCCTGGCTTTGCTCCACACTCTGCCCTTGCTTTCATGTGGGGGAACCTGTTAAAGGTACATGTGTTATCAGACTTGTGCACTTGTGTGTCCATCATTACAGTAGCAGCTGAAGCTCACCTGACGTACTGTCTGCTCTTTCCTGTGGCTCCAGGTTGTGCCTTGGAACTCCGGGAGTGTTTCATTTTGGGAAGAGAGAACTCCTCGCCCTCATCACTCTGGTCCTCACTGGGGGGACCATCTTCCTGCTCCAACTCTCCTGTGTGCCTTTCTTTCAACCTCTTCAGGCCAAAGCGACCTCCTCGTTTCTTTTGGGTTTTAAATGGCTTCATCCCCTTCACACTCTGAAACATCACAAGTCACAATAATACACTATTATTAATAATATAATATATCAAATTAGTGCTACAAGGCTCCTGAATAAAAGTAGAATCAAAATTCAAATAATTATGCAAATTGTTACCAACACTAAATCTAACATTCAAGATCAATGTCTTTATAGAGGGGTGCACTCCACAGCGTGCAACAAGGCAGTCTCTGGTCTCGTGTTTATTGCCTCGTTTTTAATGTTTTTAACTCGTCTCTGTTAACAAATCTTGTCCATGTTATCCAAGTTAGTGTGGAAGTGAACCGTGAGTGCACCAGGGAACGATCATGGGCATACGCTTAAAGACTTTTGCATTGTTGTGCATACTCGTGTTGCTGATGTGCGTCTCCACCGGCTTTGGCGTGGAGGGACACGGCATCAATGGTAGGCTGATCTACAGCCGAGAATTTCTTCTGTCCATGCACGCCTCGACTACGATCTCATGACCACTACAGAGTATCAGGACTCGGGACTCGGGAACACCAAACACCGCAAAAGAGGAAGAGAATCAAGAATCGCCATGTAAACAGCCATCAGTCCATCACAATCAAGATTGATGAGCTAGAGGCGTGTGCTAAACTGAAACATGAGGTGAAAAACGCTTGCCTACTCACTTTCATGGAGACTTGGCTTGGTGAATCAGACATAGACACTGATCTGAATTTGTTGGGTTTTGGATGCCCGCTGCACATGGATAGATCCGTGGAAATTACAGGGAAGAAGGTGGAGGACTCTGCTTTACATGAATCAGTGTTACTGCAACACTGTCACTGTCAGGGAGAAAATATGTACCCGAGACTTGGAGCTATTGACAATATCACTCAGACCGTTCTGTCTCCCCCATGACTTCCAGCAGCTGTTTTTTACGTTAGTGTACATCCATCCGAAAGCCAGCGCTACAACTGCTGCTCAGCTGATTGCTGACGTAACTCTTAAGATCGACTCTATTTGTCTGGATGCTCCTAAATTCATTCTGAGAGATTTTAACCACTGTAAACTGGAGAAAACACTTAAAACCTATGAGCAATATATGGCGTGCCCGACAACACAGAGGAATATGCGATTGGATCTTTGCTATGGTTCAGTGAGTGGCGCTTACAAACACTCCCCCCCATTCGGGGCTTCGTACGACAACAACATGTTCTTGCTGCCAGTATATAGACCTGTTTTTAGGTGCGGAAAACTGTTAAAGTGTGGAATGAAATGTGCATAAGCTCTCTCCAAGCATCTTTACAATGTACTGACTGGGATTGTTTTATAGACGCGTGTGAGAATACAAGTGAACTTGTTGATGGTGTCTCATCTTATATAACTTTCTATGTTGACTGCATACTTCCTTCTAAAGAAGTGGTTATATTCCCTAACAACAAGCCATGGGTAACAAAGGAATTTAAGTCTGTTTTAAATAAAAAAGAAAAGAATTCATTATTTAGGAGATGAACAGTAAAAGAAAGAAGTCCACAGAGAAGTTAAGAATGGAATAAGACATAGTAGAAGGATTTATAAGGATAAAACAGATAAAAATCTCTATTCAGGAGGACATCTCAGAGCAGCATGGAGAGGCATCAAGTCAATGGCATTAGTGAACCAACGTTTGCTGTAACAAGGCGAAAATGTTAGTTTTAATAGTGTTGATGATGCCCACTTGCCAAATGTTTTCTTTGCCAGGTTTGAGAAGCCAATTTTGGTGATGTAAAACCCGAATGTTCCTTGTTCCCAATAACGAACCTTAAAAAGGTAAACACGAGTAAAGCTGCCCAGATGGCATCTGTGGACGCACTCTCAGGTACTGTGCTCATCAGCTCAGTGGTGTATTTACTACACTTCTTCAGATATGTGCAAATTCCGGCCAAATACCAACAATGAGTGCATATACATGCACATCAGTAACCCAGTTTTTAGCTATATCCCGGTTATGTCAGTATTCGGGATACTGCCTATACGGGGTCAGCCTTATCATCAGAAGACCCTCTAGTCAGAAAATCCATGTTCAGGTAGTGTTTTCAGTATACCACAGATCTCGTAGGGTATTTTCCAAATTTTCATCTCAAAGTTCATAAAGACATACATTTTTATACGAACTGCCAATTTTGTGAACAAATAAGAGGCCTTGATATTTTTAGCTCAGCTCAAAGTATATGTACTATTTAGGCGTGTCATAAAAATGCTCCTGTTCTGGGTATCCCACCTGGTCGTATTGAAAAGGGCCAACTGTAAGGCATTTTTAGCTCAGATTGTGAGCTGTAAGCTCAAGCTGAGCTTATGCGATCACCCATTGTCCGGCGTCCATCCGTCTGTCTGTCCGTTAACCATGGCTGGACAAATCTAGACTGTTTGACTTACAGAGTCCATATGAATGTCTTTAGATACCTTAGGGTAATAGCTCTTTCCAATTCTTGAATTATGTCACAGTGACCTGCTTTGTGGATCTTATAGGGCAAAGTTAACTTTTCCAATGCATTTCAATGGGAACTAGATTTGCTTATAATATAAAGGATTTTTACAAGATCCTTTCCACTATGCCAAAATATTATCCCTACCATGACCTTTGTCCCATACCAGCCATTTGACCTTGATCCATTTTCCAAGGTCACAGCAGCCATTTCAATTTTCATTACTTCCTTAACCCTATTGCACTTGCAAAACCCTGTCTATTTAAATGTTGTTTCCATGCATTTGTCTGTTAATTCTCCTGAGCGTGTGACCTTGACTTTTAGGTATGCTAATTTATAAACAAAATTGCAGCTGCGGCCTTGTTACAAATGAAACTGTATTTCAAGTTTTAAATATTTTAAAAAGTAAATATTAAAAGTAATAAATATATTAAACCCTTAAAATACAGCAAAAATGTTTGAGGAAATAATGATTTGGGTGGAAATGGCTGTATTAAGTGTAACAGGGTTAATAATTGTCTCATTTTCAGGCATCAACTTGCAAAATGTTCAGTAAATCAAGCTCTACAACTTTCATTTCAATTTTATTACCTCCGCCAAGGAGGTTATGTTTTTGCCAGCGTTTGTCTGTTTGTTTGTCTGTTTGTTTGTTTGTCTGTTAGCAACATAACTCAAAAAGTTATGGACCGATTTTGATGAAATTTTCAAGATTTGTTGGAAATGTGAAAAGGAAGAACTGATTTCATTTTGGGGGTGATCCGGAAGAAATCCTGGATTCTGGATCACTTTGAAATTTTAGTTAACATTGTGGTAAATGGGGCCAAAAATTTTGTTTCTCAATATCTCGGTTAATTATTGACCAAACCCCATGAAATTTGACTCAGGGATGGACAATGGGATCCTCTTTCATATTCCAAAGGCTGATCCGGATCTGATCCTGAAGACTGATTTTATCGCAATTTATATAAAAAATGGGGGTAGTCCTTGGCGGAGGTCTGCGCTCTCTGAGCGCTTTTCTAGTTTTAAATCTTTTTCTTTTAATATAGCATTGGTGGTTTTGTAAATCAACAAATTAAGTAATGCTGGCCTTAGCTAATGCTGTTATGCATGATTATGCGTTTTCCTGTCAATATCTCTAAAAATGTTGATGTTGCAGCCATTTTTAATTGGTATACATCCAAAAGTTTACTAATTCTTCCCTGATATCCAGGGATTATTCCCTGTTGCTTTCATCAAATATACATTCAATTGTTCAAGAGATATGTTGCTGACAAACCAATAGAAGAGGTCATGATTTTCTGACTAGTGGACCTTCTGATGATAAGAGTGTAACCGCGTATACATGCGCGCTGAGAAACAGGGATACTCATATCCGCGTATACATGATCGAATGGAGTATCCTGGTTTCTTGACATAATCTTACAAATTCGCAAGTGCAAAAATTTACTTAAATCAATTTAATAAACCAAGAAAAATACAAACCATGAGCTCTTTTAGCATAGGAAGCTCATGAGGTTTAACCAGGCTGAGGAGCTATGAGATACCCCACAATTAAATCCCACATTAAATCTTCTGCATAAATAAACTCAACTTTACAACATATAAACCATAACCACTGTAGAGTCACATCAGCCCGTTTGATAATATAATTCAGCTTTGTTTACGTTTTACAGAAACGAAACCGCTTGGCTAATTAGCATAAACTGTTAGCTGTGATAAAAACAGTTCGCTCCTTGGGCCACTGATGCAGTTCAGCTTCTTTTGGACTAAAGGACACGACTCAGTGTAATATGTGTGTTCTTTCTGTGACAAAGGAGGTGCTAATGATGGTAAGTGTGTTCTATCTAGGAGATAGTTCATGTTTTAGCTTTTCAGCGATCATACGTGTGCAGGTCATACGAGTGCAGATTGTACGTGTGCAGGCTTAGCGCAGCTCTTTATTTTACAGTTATTTCACTCATGTATGATCACTTTATTTATGTTGGTCACTTTATTTATGTCGCTACTGTTGCGGTGAAAAAACTGGAAAGTGTTTGTCTTTTGGGCATGTGCACTCAACTTTATGTTGCAGTAACCGGGATACTGTGTTTACATGCCACAGTATCCCGGTTACTATCGGAATAAACCTGCTACAGTAACGTGGTTTCTAATAACCAGGATACTGCCATAACCGGGATACTGAAACCGGGGTACCGCGTATACATGCACCAATGAAGAAACTGGGATACTCAAAAAACCCGATCATAACCGGGATACTGATGTGCATGTATACACACTCAATGTGGATAACATCCACTATTATATCTGTTCCTAAGTTGAATAATTCAAAGGAACTAAGTGAATTCATCAATTGCTCTTACCTCATTAGTAATGAAAATCTTTGAGAAGATTCTAAAAGAATATCCTCTCTCTAACCAATGGCAAACTAGACCCCTTGCAGTTTGCTTATCAAGCAGGGAAAGGTGTAGAGGATGCAAAAATATTTCTTTTGGACGCTATTTATAAACACCTTGAAAAGCCCAACTCACATGCACGGATACTTTTTGAAGACTTCTCTTCAAGTTTTAACAAGATGTAGCCAGATATTTTAATTAGATTAGCTTCGATTTTTAGTCTACCCAATCAGCTTTTATTGCTACTTTTAAACTTCTTAACCCACTGCACACAGAGAGTCCTTTTGAATGGGGAAATGTCCAATCCCGTTTCAAACATTGGCCCCCCCCCAGGGCTGTGTTTTGTCTCCGCTGCTTTATATTCTGTATACAGACAGTTGTAGGTCCGCAAATGAGGGCAGCTACATTATTAAGTTTTCAGATGATACTGTCCTCCTCTCTCTCCTGCAGGGAGCAAACTCAGACCATGGCCAAGTTCTACCTGCTTTCATTGAATGGTGTGATAATAACCACCTGGACCTAAATATAACTAAAACCAAAGAAATTGTTGTGGACTTCTGGGAAAAAGTTCACAGCCCAATACCCAGCCAGTAAGTCCTTAGGGAAGTAGTAGAAATGGTGGACTCCTATAGGTATTTGGGAACTGTGATGGATTCCTCCCTAAGGCTTGATAAGAACACAAAACAAATTATCAAATGAGGACAGCAGTGGGTTCACTTGATGTGGAAGCTCAGCTCTATTAATGTGTCACCTAACATTTTAAATAATTTTTATCATTCCTTTATTGAAAGTTTGCTGACCTTTTCTTTTATTTGTTGGTTTTATGGGTTATCTGTGAAGGACAAGAACAGTCTGAACCAGATAGTTAAAGTGTGCAGCAAAATCAGCGGTGTTCAAATTGAGGATTTGGCCTCTGTGTGGAGACATTGGGTGCTCCAAAAGACTAAGGCCACACTGAGCCTAACCATGGTCACAGTCACAGTTTGTGCAAATGCTCTCTCGGAGGTGATATGTCACCCCACAGCAAAAGACCAACCGCTACGCCAAATCTTTTATTCCTTCTGCCATAAAGCTTTTAAATGGAAAGTGAATTTGCTATTGTGTCCCTGATGCACTGTGGTTTGAATGTATGTTATCTGTTTTTCTTTTTCTTTTATTATTTATAGACTGTGCACGACCAGAGATGTGCGAACTGAATTGCCCTTTGGGATTAATAAAGTTGTGGATTGATTGATTGATTATAAGTTTTATGTTAGGGTAGTTACCAGTTTAGCTGCTTTGGCACGGGGCCCTTTGACCTCTACACTGGGCAGTCGGGCTCTGACATTGGGGGCCTCTTTGGTGACGGTCCTCTTCACCTGGAAGCTGACTTTATATGGCTCTGCACACTGAAGAATCTTTAGTGCATCTTCATACTTGACATTATCAAAATAGACTTTGGCACTCAACAGCTGATCTCCTAAAGAAACAACATGTGTAAATCAGCACTTTTCTATTACTCACTTTCAAGGAGACATTCTGTATTTATGAGTCACTTCAGCCTTTCCTACATTAACAGTCATATAGTGGTAATGCTAGGTAATGCTAACCTTCACTTGTAGCTTGGGGCAGATAAATATGTTTTTAGAGCAACCTTTCTTTAGTGTCCCATGAGGCTTTTATTGTATGTATTGCATAGCATGGATAAAAGCTTGAGTGAAATGCCACACTTTTTGTGTAGAGGAAGTCATATGGGTAGAGTCTCCTTAGTAGGCCTGTTGTAGCTGGACTGCTGACGAGCTCAAATGATAATCATTTAGGTTGTTTCTGCAGTAGACCTAATGTTGCTGCACTTGTATGGGCAGAGCAGACAGTACCTTGCTGCAGACTGAGGTGTTTTGCTGCTGGAGAGTCTTTGAGAACATCTCTCACAAAGATCCCACGGTGTCCTCCTCCGGTCACACTGTAGCCACTGGCCCCTGCTTCTGCCTCCGTCTCCATGACAATCTCCACCGGTTCAGACATGTCCTCCTCCTTCTACAGAACAATCCAGAACATGTTAAAGCACATTCTACTGCCAGCTTATCTGCAGTGATAAGATGACCGTAAAAGCCCCTTCTAATAGTTTAGCTTGAGAGAGACTGAGAGAGTTCTGGCTCTTCAGTGATTCTTATTTTACATTTGAACGAGACCATAGAGCCCATGGAATCACTATGAATCAAATGTAGCATGTTTCTCGGAAAATGCAAAAGGGATCTCTCAAATATTCTTGTATCATTCAGAACAAGTTATAGAATTTCTTTAAACAGGGGATATTACACTTAGATGGGGTGTAACTGCTAACACATAATGTATTAGGCTTTTGATGGACACAAAAACACAAAACATGTATCCAGCGATATTACTGCACATCGCAGCAGGTTTCTGAGTTGTTGTCTACAGTTTTGTGTCATGTTGTTGGGTTGAGCACTGGACAGAATCACAGCTAACCACAAGAAGAGTGAGAAGAATAGGGCCCGAGAGAGATCACTAGATTACTCAAACATGCATGGTGACATGTTTTTGATGAGGGAACAATGGTATAACATGGTAGAAAGCTCCAAAAAGTAGATTTAGCATAATATCCCCTTTTCAACTCAGATTTACAGAGTTTAGTGCTACGCCTGTTGAATCTTTAGAAATCTAAGGAATAGATTCAGTACCATTCCAATACCACAATAATAATAAAAAAAACACTTTATATAGACACTAGACTGTAAGCATTTCAGCATTAAATCATTGTACTCTTTTCTGTTACCATGTGGCCTTAATCCCTCAGTGCTCAAGGTAGATTCCATAGTGGTCCATGGCCATATACTAGTCTATGATCTAGTTCTAGATGAAGCTGTTAAGAAAAGGTTCATTTCTGTCCTGTGAATGTGACTTTTTAGTACTGATACATGATACACGATATTAATTTTAGGACCGTTTTAGAATGTGACTTTTGATACTTTTAACAAGCCTAGGGCAAAACACGCTATTGTATGGGTTTAAATGTTTGCAGTGTCCATCAGCCCCAAGGCAGCTCTGACTGTGATTCAAAGTCCTTTTCAGTATGTCATGTATGTCATGTGGCGTGTTCCCCAGTGAAGTGTTCTGTGTGCAGACCGTGTGCTGGTCGGCTGGCTCCGGCTCCATGTCTCTCAGGCTTCTCTTCTGACTCAGCACCTGCTTCAGCTCAGCATGGAGCCTCTCCCTCTGCACCTGCAACACAGCCACGTCAGACCCTCTGTGTGTGCGTCCTGACCCTATCCCTGACCATAACCCTGACTCTATCTCTGACCATAACCCTGACTCTATCTCTGACCATAATCCTGACCATAACCCTGACCCTATCCCTGATCATAATCCTGACCATAACACTGACCATGCTTTGGAAATAAATTATATTTCCCAACCTTAAAGGCACTGTACCAGTAATTAATTATTCAACACAATGAGTAATTTGTAAGTGCTTTTCACAACTCTCAACAACCGAAGTGTTGCTATGATGACAAAGCTTCGTGCTGCAGCTGCATTATGTAGTGGAGGTTTGGCGCCATTGTCTGAAAGAGGGAGCTCCACTTTGTCATAGCGAGTATTTTTAATTTTTAATTTTTTTAATTGGGTTAATAATTAGCATAACTACATGGCTAAGGTTAATTTTAGGAACTATCACTGTGGTGTTCCCCATCAGTCACATCTAGACCCTTTTCTAATTATTAGATAACTAAATGTGACAGATGAGACAGTACATAGCAAAGACTTTTTTTTTTTTTTTTTTTTATCTCAAAAGATGCTTATACTAGTATGTATCAATATATCTGCACTGGGGCAACACAGTACACGGGCTCAAGTACATGGGAAAGAATCTGGTAGAGCAACAACCATAACCTTTAAAGGTCCTAAAAATGCAAAATGGGCTTTTGTGAGCTCTGAGACATGCTATAATACTTTTACCTCCTCAAACACAGACCTGGGGTTGTGTTTTGTTTCATTCACACATGATTAAGTAACCCTTTATTACTAGTTTGTGTACATTGCTAAAGCTCAAAATGCTCTGATTTTGCGACATCACGAAGCTATAGTTTTCAAGTGAACAGCTCCTTTTACCTTTAGTTCAGTAGAGATGGGAAATTCCACAACTGAAAAGATCCAAATAATTTTAGTGAAGGTGTGTGGAGTTTAAAAGCACATGGAGCATTTCCTGTATTACCTCATGACATGACAAGGTGGAACAGAGTGTTTTCCATTAAAAACACAATATGTTTGTGATATGGGCCCTTTAAACTCTGTAGACCCATATTAGCACTTTAAATCATGTTGTCAAGTTGTTGAGCTATAATGATTAACCTCATGGAGACCCACAAAGCAGAAGATCCCCATGATGTGTGTGTGTGTGTGTACATGTCAGTCTCTGCCCACACACACAGTGGAACATGTATTTAGTGTGAGTATGCGCACCGCTCTCTCTGGGCTGTCCTGCTCCTCCGAGGGGCTGCTGTAGGGGCTGTGGGGTGGAGGGGCTCTCCGGTCCCTCACCTGTAGGCACATGCACAGTCACACAAAGAACCCTGTCCCACCCCTGCTGCCACAGACAGGAGACACAGACAGGAGACACAGACAGAGACACAGACAGAGACACAGACAGGAGACACAGACAGAGACACAGACAGAGACACAGACAGGAGACACAGACAGGGACATAGACAGGAGACACAGACAGGGACACAGACAGAGACATAGACAGAGACACAGACAGAGACACAGACAGGGACACAGACAGAGACATAGACAGGAGACACAGACAGGGACACAGACAGGAGACACAGACAGGGACAAAGACAGGAGATGCAGACAGGGACACAGACAGGAGAAAGAGACAGAGACACAGACAGGGACACAGACAGGAGACACAGACAGGGACAAAGACAGGAGATGCAGACAGGGACACAGACAGGAGAAAGAGACAGAGACACAGACAGAAGACATAGACAGGGACACAGACAGGAGACACAGACAGAGACACAGACAGAGACACAGACAGGAGACACAGACAGGGACATAGACAGGAGACACAGACAGGGACACAGACAGAGACATAGACAGAGACACAGACAGAGACACAGACAGGGACACAGACAGAGACATAGACAGGAGACACAGACAGAGACACAGACAGAGACATAGACAGGAGACACAGACAGGGACACAGACAGGAGACACAGACAGGGACAAAGACAGGAGATGCAGACAGGGACACAGACAGGAGAAAGAGACAGAGACACAGACAGGGACACAGACAGGAGACACAGACAGGGACAAAGACAGGAGATGCAGACAGGGACACAGACAGGAGAAAGAGACAGAGACACAGACAGAAGACATAGACAGGGACACAGACAGGAAACACAGACAGGAGACACAGGCATGGACACAGACAGGGACACAGACAGGAGACACAGATAGGGACACAGTCAGGAGACACAGACAGGAGACAGGGACAGGGACAAAAACAGGAGACGCAGACAGGGACACAGACAGGGACACAGACAGGAGAAAGAGATAGAGACACAGACAGGGACATAGATAGGGATACAGACAGTGAAATACAAGGGGGACACAGAGGGGACTTACGGCTGAGTCTCTGCGGGACACACACACATGGCTGTCCTCTCTGTCAGAGTCTGGAAAAGGAGACACCTGATCAGCTGGACCTCTACACAAACTCATGCCTCTGGATGTTGGATGTCATTATATGATTGTTGAAACATGGACACTGTACATTAACCCCCCCCCCCCCCCCCCCCCCCCCCCCCCCCCCCCACACACACACACACACACACACACACACACACACACACACACACAGGCACGGGCTCAAGTCATATTTTCATATCATAAATTTAC